TTGAAAGCTGTTACTGAAGCCCACAGACCGCAAAATGCGTCCACTCTTAGTCAGCAGCTTTGAAAGGAAATAAAGAGGAAGAACTAGCCTGTGACACTTTTGCAATTATTGATAGAAGTACATGTATTCATATGTTATGTGTTTGTGAATGTGAAATCAGCTCTAGCTGTGAGGAGACAAAGAGGAAGCTCTTGTTTCATGGAACTGGATAGCAGTGAACCTTCTACAAGTTCCATATTTGTGAAAACTGTGAGGAAACACCGAAAAATCTTTCATTTAATTAATTGGACAGTAGTAAATCTTCTTTAATTTCCCCGTTTCTGAATGAATCAAACCAAAAGAAAGTGTTTCTGAAAGCTCATCATGTCACTGATGTATACCACTGATTATTTTAGAGATCTGGAGTTCACATTTTAAAATATCATAAATTTAAAAAGTAGACCTATGAAACAATTTTCCCCATAGATGCCCTCAATTGCATCCATGTTTTAAAGGGTACCCTGTTAAGAATACTAATAAAAAGTTATTTGCTGTACAGTCCAAGAATGCCTCTATCTGTTGATAACAATTTCACGTTGATTTGTTTATGGGAAAAGCCACAATGAAGCAATTAAACTGTATAAAAAGTGTAAAGTCAGAACAGTTCACTAGCAGAACAAAGGTCAAAGTGACCTCCATGACCACCCGGGCGCGGCATGGCTGACCAGGTCAACTCCTCAGGTAACTAAGTGCTCTGCTCGGGAACAGCCGTGATGACCTATGCAGTTGCGAGCGCCGTAAAACACTTTACAAACACAAACAAAAACAAACAATATTTTCTTTTCTTCACAGAGATTAACAGAAGTGATTTTTTTCTCTTCCCCCCCCCAGGTGCTGAACAAAGACATTCCCAGTGAGCAGACTCAGGTCCACGGGTACATCAGCGGTCAGAACGGTGGGACGCTGATCACAGCAGCGGGGGCGGGTCACGAGGGTCACAGTGGGTCAGGGTCAGGGTCGTCGGCAGAGTTGCTGCTGTCTCAGCTGACCCACCAGGCCGTGGCGATGAGATCTCCTCAGCAGTCCTCCTCCAGACACTCAGGTAGTCTTCCTCATCTTCTTCTTCTTTTTAGTTTTCGTAAGAGGTAGACACCATTGCTGCAGCGCAGGACAGGCTGAAATGGAGGTCCATGATCGCCCACGCCAGTCGGCAAGGCACCGGGTGATGAGGAAGAGGTAGATATTCGGAATCTCTTCATCTGGCCCGTGATGTGGATACGTCTGCCCATGTCTGATTTAGATTAAGGTCATACAGTGATTTATTATTCTAGGTAAAGGCTGTCTATCTCTCCCTCCCCCCTGTCTCTCTCTCTCTCTCTCTCTCTCTTTCTCTCTCTCTC